ATCTATCTATCACAGTATTCTCATTTCTATCTATCTATCTATCTATCTATCTATCTATCTATCTATATTAGTTCCTATCTCTCACTATCTTTCTATATTTGATCATATCACTCTATTTATCTATCCACATCTGTTTCTATCTCTCTCTTTCTAGCAAACTATCAATATTTATTTGTTTCTATACCCGCCTCTGTTTATTTAACAGTATTTTCATATATATATATATATATATATATATATATATATATATATATATATATATATATATATATATCACCGTATTTCATATCTATCTATCACAGAATTTTTTTCACATCTATATATCTATACTGTGATTTTTTCTATCACAGAATTTTTTCCACTATCTATCTATCTATCTATCTATCTATCTATCTATCTATCTATCTATCTATTACACTATTTTCATATGTATATATGTATCTATCCGAGTATATGTATCTATCACCGTATTTTCATATCTATCACATTTTCATATCTATCTATCTATCTATCTATCTATCTATCACAGAATTTTTATATATATTTATCTATCACAGATTTTGCATATCTATAACAGTATTTTCATATCTATCTATCTATCTATCCCAGAATTTTTATATCTATCCCAGTATTTTCATATCACAGTATTTTCACATCTATCTATCTATCTATCTATCTATCTATCTATCTATCTATTACAATATTTTCATATCTATATATCGATCTATCCCAGTATTTTGCTATATATCTATCACATAATTTTTATATCTATCACAGTATTTTCATATCTATCTATCTATCTATCTATCTATCTATCTATCTATCTATCTATCTATCTATCACAGTCGTTTTCTTTCTATTTATTCTGGACATTTTCTTTAACACTTTTCCTTTTTCTGCACTTTTTTTTTTTGTTTCTTCTTTGCTTTCCGGCATCTTTCTTGCTTGCCTAAATTTTTTCGGAATCTTATTTTTATTTCTTCTCCTTGATTCCTTTCTGTATCTCTCCTAAATAATTACATAGATTGGAAATATTTCAAAAATTAAAAAAAAACAAACTTATCTATAATCACAAAAGCATATTATACTCAACAATTTATCAAATGAATTAGTTATGCATAGAAATAAACTGAACCATGACTTTGATCTAAGGAATGCCGCACTTATTAAAACAGCTAGAATCTTAGACGGAAAATTCTCGAGGGTGCCACTATTGTATGTAGTCAATATATAAATCTACGCCCTGGATTTTTATATATAATACATAAATTAATCCCAAAATAAATAATTTAAATATTAATTATATTTTAAAATCCGGCAATAATATAATTTACTCACTTTCGTTTATTAGACATTAAATTAATTCACATAATATGTTTTATAATTTACCTTGACTTTCAGTGCATCTGATGAATATTTATGAGCATCTCTAAAAATTCATTCAGCTTTTTTTCTTTCTCTTATATATTCTAGTTTGGCTCAAGCATATTTTTCTTTTCATTCTTTTTCTCAATCTTTTTCTGTATATTTTTTCTTTCTTTTTTATATTACATAGCTGTATTTTATTTTGTTCTGTCTCAGTCGTTTGTTCGTTTTTTTTTTCAATATGACAATATTTTTGTTTTTTCAATATGACAATATGTTTTGTTTTGTTTTTTTTTTTTTCAATATGACAATAGTTTTTGTTTATTTGTTTTTCAATATGACAATATGTTTTGTTTTGTTTTGTTTTTTTTTTCAATATGACAATATTTTTGTTTGTTTTTACAATAAAACAATATTTATTGTTTTTATTTTCTCAATCTGATAGTATCTTTTTCGTTTCTTTTATTCATTTGTCCTTTTGTTTCTTTTGCGGACATTTTTCTTTAATATTGATGTAACTTTTTTGTCTTTATTTCCTGCTTTCTGATCCTCCTATCATTCTTACCTTCTTTTTTTTAATCACTTTCTCCAAAATTTTATTTTCCCTATTTCTCTTTCTAGCTTTTCCTCCTTTCATCGTTTTTTCCTTCCTTTTTTTTTTTACTTTCTTCATTGATATGTCCATATTTATTCATTATTAATTTGTTTTCTCCTTTCCCCTGCTATTTTCTAATTCATATTTTCCCACATAACCATATTTACTTATTTTTTCCCCATTTTTCTTTTCTTCATTTTCTTTTTCTTTCTTATTCTTTCTTTCTTTTGTTGATTCACATTCTACATAGATTCGTCTTGCATATTAACCATTTTTCATTTTCTTTTTATTTCTTTCATATTTTTTCAATTACTCACATTTTTTTTTTTTTGATTTCCTTATTTTTCTTTTCTTAGTTTCTTTCTTCTATCAATCATTTCGAGTGTTTTTTTCTTCAAGTTTTCATATTTTATCATTTATGTATTCATTGCTAAATATATTTGATTTTTCTCGGTATTTTTAAAATTTTGAAAAATATTTTTGGCCTCTAGTACATTTTTTTTTCTTTGTAATTCCATTTTTTTTTTTTTTTTTGCTTTCATGATATTTTATGTGGCTTCTCTGTATTTCTTTTGTAATTTGGGGTTTTGCTTCTTCACCTATAAGAGTTCATTATTTATTTCTATCATTCCTTTATCCTCCTTTCTTTTCTTTCGATCGTTCCTTAAATCAACCAGTCTATCTATCTATCTATCTATCTATCTATCTATCTATCTATCTATCTATCTATCTATCCCCTTTTACTTCCATCTTTCTTGCATTCTTTCTTTTCTTCTATCCGTTATTGATTGGACCTTTCCTTCACCCTTCCCTTTTCCCGTTCTTTTTTTCTTTCTTTTCTTTTCTTTCTTCTATACGTTTCACTTGTAATTTTCTTTCTTTCTTTTGTGTCTTTCTTTCTTTCTTTTGTGTCTTTCTTTCTTCTATAGTTTTTTCTTGTGACATTCTTTCTTTTATTTATTTCTTCTGTACGTTTTTACTTGTCACTCTCTTTCTTTCTTTCTTTCTTTTTTTTCTGATATACGTTTTTACTTGTGCCTTTCTTTCTTTCTTTTGTTTCTTTCTTTCTTCCTTAACTTTTTACTTGTGATTCTCTTTCTTTCTTCATTTGCATCTTTGCTTCTTTTCTTCTTTCATTCTATCTTTCTTTCATCTATCTGTTTAACTTTCTTTCTTTCTTTCATTCTTTCTTTTCGATTCCTTTTACTCCAGTCTTTCCTTTTATCATTTTGTTTCATTTTGTTTTAGATTTTTCCTTTATTTAACAGATTTGCTTTCCAATGTAGTGACTAAAATGGCGAAACTAAAGTGGTCTACAAAGTCTGTACCGACTGGCGGAATTTTCCACTTGTTATCTGTCAAATTTGCAACCTGACGAGGTCCTGTGACGTGGAAAAATGAATCACTATCTATTTGCCTGCAAGACGTTCTTGGGTTAACGTTTGGACGAGAAATACAATAACACAAATCCTTGATAAGGCGAAGAAAAATTATAAAATGCACAAATAACAAATGAACAAACAAACGATTGACTAAAAGCAAATAGCCACGTGAAAACTCCAAACTAAGAAAGTCTTTATTTAGGAGAGATACAGAAAGGAAGCAACGAGAAGAAATAAAAAAAAAGATTCCGAACAAATATAGGCAAGCAAGAAATAGGCGAGAAAGCAAAGAGAAAAAAAAAGTGAAAGCGGAGAAAATGAAACGTGTTAAGTAAAATGTCTAGATTAAATGTAAAGAAAAAGACTGAGATAGATAGATAGATAGATAGATAGATAGATAGATAGATAGATAGATAGATATGAAAATACTGTGATTGATAAATTGATAAATAGATATGAAAATAATGTGATAGATAGATAGATAGATAGATAGATAGATAGATAGATAGATATGAAAATACTGTGACAGACAGATAGAGAGATAAATAGATATGGAAATACTGAGAGAGTTATGAAAATACTCTGATAGATAGAGTTAGATAGACAGAGAGAGGGAGAGAGACATAGATAGATAGATAGAGAGAGAGAGAGAGGGGGAGATATTAAAATGCTGTGGTAGGTAGATTGATAGATCTGAAAATACTGTTACATAAGTAGATAGATATGAATATACTGTGATAGATACATATGAAAATACGGTGATATATATATATATATATATATATATATATATATATATATATATATATATATATATATATATATATGAAAATACTGAGATAGATATATATGGAAATACTGAAAAGGAACATAGGTAGATGGATATATATATAAATATATATATATATATATATATATATATATATATATATATATATATATATATGAAAAAGAGAGAAAGAAAGAATGTGAGTTCTGGAGTGGAATGAGATATAAATATTTACTAGAGACATAGGAAGACAGTTAGGGTAAACAGTCTCATGGATCCTCATAAATTAAAAAAAAATCTACTGATAAAGCTTCATATGAAGAAATGTGAGTTTAATAGAAAATGCAATTGAGCGGGAATTAAGTGCATAGCGAAATGCACTGTGGATTCTAAACTGAAGGACGATTGAAAATAAGAAAGAAAGAAAGAAAGAAAGAAAGAAAGAAAGAAAGAAAGAAAAAAAGAAAGAAAAAAAAATGAAGAAATTTTAAAAGGGAACATTGGATAAAAAGCAAAGAAAAGTTGAAAAAAGGAAAAAAGGAAGGAAGGAAAAAAATGATATAAAGAAAGAAAAGTAAGAGACGAAGCATGGAGAAATGAAGAAAATTATGGTGGAAAAGGAAGGTCAGAACGGAATGGAGAGTAAAGATGCGAATCGAAAAAAATGTATATTACAATGTAAAGAAAGAAAGAAAGAAAAGAATGAAGAAATTTCGCCATTTTAGTCACTAAATTGGGAAGCAAATCCTTTGAATAAAGGGAAAATCTAGAAAAAAATGAAGAAATGATAAAAGGAAAGATTGAAGTAAAAGAAAGAAAGAAAAAAGGAAAAAAAATCGCCATTTTAGTCACTAAATTGGAAAGTAAATCTGTTGAATAAAGGGAAAATTCATAAAAAATGAAGACATGATAACAGAAAAGATTGGAGTAAAAGAAAGAAAGAAAGAAAGAAAGAAGGAAGGAAGGAAGGAAGGAAGGAAGGAAGGCAGGAAGGAAGTAAGGAATAAGGAACATCATGAAAAAGAAGTAACTGACAAAATCTATAGAAAATGTAAACATTAAAAGAAGAAAAAATAAGAAGGACAAATGAAAGAAAACGATCAATGGAAAATTAAAATCAAAAATGAAATAAAGATGGAAATTGCTGAATGCTGTACGAACTGAAAAGTCAAGACAAATTATGGCTGATGCTAAGTGTATTAATTTAATGTCTAATAAACGAAAGTAAGTAAATTAAGCTATTGGTGATATTTAAAATATAATTAATATTTAAATTATTTATTTTGGGATTAATTTATGTATTATATATTTTAAATAACAAGAGGTTATGAATTTGATGTTTTGTAACAGTATGCTCCAGTCAAACAGTCGGTGTTTTGTAAACAGTCACCTCCTGTCAAATAGGCCGGGTTTTGTAAACAGTCACCTCCAGTTAAACAGCTGTTGTTTTGTAAATAGTCACATCCAATCAAGCAGATGGGTTTTTAAGCAGTCACTTCTAGTCAAACAGCTGGTATTTTGCAAACAGTCATTTCCAGTGGAACAGCCGGTGTTTTGTAAACATTCACCTCCAGTTATACAGCCCGTCCCTTCCCTTGGACAAGTTTAGAGGCTCACACCTTGTTTCTTGTTTAGGAAGAGGTTCCCTGAACACTCTCTCTCGTCCTCTTTCTGGCCTCTGTACAAGTGCTGCTGTGTTTCTTCCGTGATGTGTGCAGTCTGTGGCATTACCTCTTCATTCTGAGGGTACACGGTTGACAGTTTCCTGGTTGCTGTTTCCGACTGGTAATTAGGAGCCCTAACTCTTGCGTAGCGTCTTCAGCGGCCGCTCTGATCAACAGTTGCATAATACCGGAGTGTCTGTAATGCTATGACGCGCATGGAAAGGTGTCTCTGCAGTCTACTCCGGTGGGCAACCCTGAGGCCACATTATGATGCAGGCTGGGTCAACTTCTCTCTGCCCACGTCACGGTCGATAACCGTCTGCTACTTCTACTTCAGGCCTTCTCATCTTCCAACCAGAATTCCACACGAAGACTTACAAAGATCGAAAAAGTAAATCTAAACCAGACCTTCAAAAATCACCCAAACCCTTCAACATTTCATTCACCAACATCCGTAGTATTAAAACCAATTTCTGCAGCGTGGAATACTTTCTCACTGCAAGCTTCCCGGATATTGTGGCTCTGTGTAAGACCAGCCTTGACCTGTCTCTCCAATCTCTGATCTCTCGATCCCGGGCTACTTCCCTCTCCTTAGAAAAGACTTTCAAACCCAGATCTACAGTTGATTTGCATACGGCCATCACTGAAATTGTCTACCAAGCTCTTCATTATAACGGAGAAGCTCGTGCCGTGGTCCTAGACATCTCCAAAGCGTTTGATAGGGTTTGGAATGCCGGCCTTCTTTGCATGCTCCAGGGTTATGGTATTACAGGTCGATTGTTTGACTTAATACAATCATTTCTGTCAAACCGTGAATTGAAGGTCGTTCTCAACGGATTCTCCTCCAGCTCCTATCCCACGAACGCAGGTGTTCCCCAAGACTCCATCCTAGGCCCTACTCTGTTCTTTATCTTCATCAACGATGTTCCTGACGTCATTGATTCCCATGAGGACATCTACGCGGACGAAACTATGATTTACTCCTGCCTCAAAAACAAATCTAGGGTCGCTCACAAAACTAACCTGGCCGTTCGTCTCGAAAAGGACATCCAATCGGTTGTGAACTGGGACAGGAATTGGCTGGTTAACTTTAACGCCCCCAAAACAAAACTGATCTCTATTAATCACCACAGAGATCCTTCCCTGCCCCTCATTAGAACGTCTGACGCTGAACTTCCTGAGAACACCTCTCTGCGGCTGCCCGGAATCACGTTCTCTACTGATCTAAGATGGAACAAATACATTGAGTCAATTGCTTCGTCCACCGCAAGAAAAGTTGGCTCCCTGTGCCGCGCCAGAAATTTTTTCTCCCCGGAATCGATCCTTCAAATGTACAAATCATCCCTTCGCCCTTGAATGGAGTATTGTTGCCATATATGGTCTGGAGCCCCTTCTGTTTGCCTCGGGGTTCTTGATAAGATCCAGTGATGGATATGCAATATAATTGAGACCAATTATATTGATCTGGCTTCTCATCTGCAGTCGCTCTCTCACGGACGTGCCGTCGCCTCACTCTGTCTTTTATACAAATACTTTTATGGCAATTGCTCCGATAAGCTGCTTTCGCTCGTTCCAAGACTTCGCGAATTCAAGCGCCCTACGAGGCTGGCATCCAGCTCTCAACCTTTCACTGTTGAAACTGTTAAATGTATCCGCCTCTTCTACTCCAATAGCTTCATGTCTCGCACCTCTCGCCTGTGGAACTCCCTTCCCTACTCTTGTTTCCCTGATAGCTTTAATCTCCAACTATTCAAATGTAATGTCAATTGACATCTCCAGTTGCCTTGGTCTATCCACTATCCTCATCTCCTCATCATCCCTCTCCTCTAATCATTCCTATAACGGTCACATCCAGACAAGCTGCATGCTTTTTGCTCCATATAAAGCAGCTGCAGTCCAAATTCTCAGATGGTGTTTTGTAACCCCAGATGGTGTTTTGTAAACAGTCACCCAGGCAAACAGATGGTGTTTTTGTAATCTCAGTGGCTTCCCAGGCAAACTTCACCTCCAGGCAAACAGATGGTGTTAAAAAAACGGTCACATCCAGGCAAACAGATGGTGTTTTTAAACAGTCACCTCCAGGCAAACAGAACCCAGGCAAACAGAGTCAGCACCTCCAGGCAAACAGATGGTGTTTTGTAAACAGTCACCAGGCAAACATGGTGTTTTGTAAACAGAGGCAAACAGATGGTGTTTTGTAATCAGTCACCTCCAGGCAAACAGATGGTGTTTTGTTTTGTAAACAGTCACCTCCCAGGCATCAGTCACCCAGGCAAACAGATGGTGTTTTATAAACAGTCACCCCAAACAGATGGTGTTTTATAATCAGTCACTCCAGGGTAAACAGTCACCTCCAGGCAAACAGTTTTGTAAACAGTCACCTCCAGTCAAACAGATGGTGTTTTGTAAACAGTCACCTCCAGTCAAACAGATGGTGTTTTGTAAACAGTGGTGTTTTATAACCTCCAGTCAAACAGATGGTGTTTTGTAAACAGTCACCTCCAGGCAAACAGATGGTGTTTTGTAATCAGTCACCTCCAGGCAAACAGATGGTGTTTTGTAAACAGTCACCTCCAGGCAAACAGATGGTGTTTTATAAACAGTCACCTCCAGGCAAACAGATGGTGTTTTGTAATCAGTCACCTCCAGGCAAACAGATGGTGTTTTGTAAACAGTCACCTCCAGGCAAACAGATGGTGTTTTGTAAACAGTCACCTCCAGGCAAACAGATGGTGTTTTGTAAACAGTCACCTCCAGTCAAACAGATGGTGTTTTGTAAACAGTCACCTCCAGTCAAACAGTCGATGTTTTTGTCACCTCAGGCAAACAGATGGTGTTTTGTAATCAGTCACCTCCAGGCAAACAGTCAAATAGTCAGGGTGGTGTTTTGTAAACAACCTCCTCCATATAAACAGTCTTCCTCCTTCCAGCAAAAGTCGGTGGCAACCTCCTCCACATGGAAAAGAACATTTATGTAGAGGTTTAAAAAAATACCCATAGCCTTTTTGAAAATACCATTTAATTTTAGTACGAAATAAATTCATCGTTGTGAACTACTTTTTAATTTTCTTATAGCAGTAATTGATAAGTAAACATAAAGTATGTTAGATTCTCGATTTAAAAAAAAAATACCGAAGCAAATATCACAGAAATTTTATATATATATATATATATATATATATATATATGTATATATATATATATATATATATATATATATATATATATATATATATATATATAGGGTGGCAATGAAGTCCTTATACAGCCAGCCCGTAAGCAGGCAAAAGAAACATTATAATGATAGGCGGAAAAATTCTGAACCGAACATTAATTGTTTTATCTTAAATATCAGTTCATAAGCAAATGATGGTACTACCAGAAGAAGGTTTACGGTAGAATCTATGTATTGCAATTATTTCCATTATTTTAATATATATAAGATAGATGTAATATTCTGATTTCAATAGAAAAGATGAGATGAAATACTGTTGCCAGTCGTATTAATTCTTTCGGATGTATTGTGTGTTTTAAATAACAGTTCCTCGAGACATGTATGAATACCACACCCCATCTAACAATTGGGGTTGTTGTTGTCGTTTTTAATAAACTATATATATATATATATATATATATATATATATATATATATATATATATATATATATATATATATAAAATTGAGTCATATGCAAAGTCACTTTAAAAGACCACAAAAATATCGTAAAGTACTTAGAATACACACCATATCATATGTGAAAAAAAAGTTAGTTGGTGGCTTTAAGGATATGTAAACTATCACAAAAAATGAACTTAATGAAAACAAAATTTGTGTCTTGTAATTGAAAATTTTGTGCCATAGTTTTTGAGAGTTTTTTTTCCCGCTTTATAGAGCAACATAATTTCAAATGACAACAAAGTCTTAAAATGATCTCGCGTGACGATAGATAGATAGATAGATAGATAGATAGATAGATAGATAGATAGATAGATAGATAGATAGATAGAAAAAAGAAAGGAGGAGCAGGAGAAACAGGAAGAGACGAAGGATGAGAGGAAGGAAGAAAGTAAATTAAAGTGGAAGGACGGAAGGTCAGAACGGAATGGAGAGCAAAGATGCGAAACGAAAAAAATGGGATGAAGAAAGTAAATTACAATGTAAAGAAGGAAGGAAGGAAGGAAGGAAGGAAGGAAGGAAGGAAGGAGGGAGGAGGAAGGGTCAGAAATAAATAGAGAGCAAATACGCAAAAATAAATAAAATGGTAAGAAACGAAACAAAGTAAGGTTGGGTGGGAAACGAAAGTAAAGAAACGATGGATAAATGGAAAGAAAGAGGAAATAATAAAGAAAAGAAGGAATAAAGAATGGGGAGGAGGAGAACTAAGGAAGGAATGGCGCCAGGGTGGAAAGAAGTTACGGAAGGGAGAGTAATTAAGAAAGGAAGGAAATAATTAAAGAAGAAAGGCAAGAATTGTATGGACATCTGCCATCGATGTTTTGTTCGTTTCCAACTCAGCTCACCCTGGAGGCCCGGAAAAGTGCTAACTCCTATAATGGATTTTGTCTGGGTTTGCATGGAAGTCTTCGGGTTCCGACGACAAGAACATCAATGGAAACTGCAACACTCGTATAAAATGCCATCGATATATAAATTCGGCGAGAAGTTTTGTTTGTTTAGTGTTTAGGGCAATATTATCACCATTCTAAGATTAACCAATAAACACGATAAGCATGTCCTTAGGGTATCAAGCTAAGAGAGGGGTGTCACAGTATAATAATCCTAATGTGCTCTGTAGTAGTAGTAGTAGTAGTAGTAGTAGTAGTAGTAAGCAGGTTATACTCAAACAGCTGTGTTCGTCTTATAAAATCCCATCCTTAATAGGGATCCCCACTTTCTCCTAATATCTTCGAAGTGGTTTTAATTGATTGTTACCACTATAAAACCCAGCCATTAGGTCCATCCAATATATCTTTAAATTCATCAGTAAAAATTACTGTTCGAAATTCAATTTTCTCTTACGAGTACGAATGGTTTCGAATGACAGGTCGCAAAACGGGCTGGTCGTAAGTCGGCCTGTAATTAATTTTGCAATCTTTTATGATATTTCTTTAGACATTAATGAATCTTTTTTAAAGTTTTACGATTTCTTTACGTTTGATACAATTTGCATCAATTCTCTACACACTTCTGTCTATATCTCTCAGATGAGTTATTATGATTACTTGCATTATTTACATTATTCGGACTTTTATCCTCATTTGCATGACCACATACACAACTTTTCGGCCGTTGTACACTCCTGCCCTCTTCCGTTGATTGGAGTTTCGAACCGAAAGCTCTAGTAAAAATGCAATAATAATAACAAAAATTGAAATATGAGCACTGGCAAAAAATGATTGCTGAGGCATTAGGTTTATGAGTCCCAAAAATTAATATCCAGGGTTCCTCAGGGACACATGACCCAGTGGATAAAAACGTTGGTCAGATCCAATGACGAGAGCCAAACAGTTATGTGTTCAGTACAAGTCCACAGCAGTGGTGAATCAAAATGTCGAGAATAGAGTTAAAGACATCCAGAAGAAGCATGACACGTGGAACTAGAACAATCTACCTCGATGGACGAAATAAAGGGTTCGGTTCGGAATTCCAATCACCTGAAGAAGGCCGGAACGTACAATGGCCGAAACGTTGTTAATATGGCAATGAAGATGAGGATAACAGACCGAATAATGCAAATAATGCAAGTAATTTCTACACATGCTTTTGTTTCTTATTTTTGCATTCATCAGGTTTAAGTCAAACACTGCATACTCCAGTACAGTTGATTTAACATTTGCTAATCATACAAACAAAAAATAGACAGGTGCAACAAAAAAAATAGGTGCAAAACATGCAAAAATACATACAAATACAAAATAACTCGTTAGCCGCTAGTGCTTAGTACGTACCCCATGCTTGGAAACACCCATGCTGTTAGATGCAGAGCAGTCAAGATCAAACATACTAATTCATGGTTTTGGTCGCAATAAGTTGCATAGGACATATGTAAACGACGACTTGTACTACTTTTATCGGCTTTTTACTTTGTGATGTATACTTCGGGATTGCGGTTTGGTTGATTTCATGCCTTTAGCGATTGTTTTATTATTCTACATCTGCGGTAATTTTAAAGAGCAGATTCTTCAAATATTTTTCTTCAAGAGCAATCGTCATTTTTTTTTTAATTAAGCTTTTAATCAAATCTTTTTATTACTTTGTTTTATAAAGTTCATATAACGCTCACAGTTGCTGCACAGTAAGGCTGTAAGGAAGACACTGGAACAAAAAGTTGAGTGAAGGGTTAAATCACATGAGAAAATGGATGGAGAATACAGTAGTTCAGTGCGACAAGCGGACGAAAGAAAAGCGCTACACATTTGAGTCCTATTTCTAGCTACTGTTCCATGTACAGACGTGCTATTCATGGCGTATAGACGAGTCTATGTTTCATTAATAGGGAATGTTAGTCTTTCGGCACAATAAAATCTTAAGTCTTCTTTCTTTTTTCATCAGGTTCTTTCTTACCGCACATTCGTGTCCAATGTAACTGTAAAGATCACACATCATATAGAAAGAATAAAAAACTTTTTTTTTTTTTTTTTTTAAATGAGTTCCATTGGTTAGGATATATTGATCCATTTACTGCATTAATAACTAAATCGACTTTAGTAAAAGTGATTATAATTTTGGCAGGAAAAAAATCTGTTGAAACGACGAGTAACGACATTATCAAAATAATAAATACTGTTTTGTAACTTCAATTTAATTTATCATGCAGTTAGTTAAAATGTGATTGATCCTGTTCATTCCTGTAAATTCTAAAAGAAATTTAGATTTATACGGATTGAAAGAGGAAGACCGAAAGAAGAGAAAAAAGCACAATGAATGACAAGAAATATACACGTATGTATAATTTAAACTAACGACAAAACAGGTCACAAGTTTGGTTTTCATGTGATTCAATAAGGTAGACACAGATCCGGTTAACATGAATTTTACATAATCTAGAATCGTGTGGATCAGATGCAGGTTGCTCTCAATTTTTCGTTTCATTTCACAGTCTGCTCCAGTCGCAACAAACTCGGTAACCGACTGCAAACGTTGTCATGATCTTGGCCAAAATCATTAACTCTGTATTTAGAAGAGTTATGGGCTTACAATTATCTAAATCTCGCCCAACACCCTTGAACATTTTCAAACTGCCAGAAACACTTGTTGAATACGACAGTCAAAATCGGAACAAAGACGTGCGACAGCCTTAAGTGCAATATATACAGTAGACCAGCAAGTCCTGGAGACTTGCCACTGCCGACCTTCTTAAATACCAAGTAAACTTTGTTCTTAGTAATCTCACCCTCATAGCTAGCAGCTGTAATCGGTTCAAGGAGAGGAAAATCGGTCAAATATATATGAAACTCTTTGCCACTGAGACTAGGCTCCTTGATAAAACGGTTTTCTAAATGACACAGAAAAGCCTCAAACATGGCTTTGGTCGACTTCAAAGTTTATCTCTCCGTGGTATCGACCTTCCGGTTATACCGAACGGGACCTCTTCTTTGCACAATTCTGCGGCCATATTCACAGCTTCGTTAGACATCTCGTTTAACCTATGTGTAACTCCCTGATACTAGTAGCGCCTGCAGCCTCACGCTTCAGGACCTGTCTGGCTATACCTGCCTCTAGGGAATCCCTCTAGACTCTGCTCTGGAATATCCTTGAGAGTCTTCTTCTTTTTAATCTTATCTTGGGCAAGTCGTTGAAAGATTTTTAAAAAAGTCTGCATACCAAGCTACGATCACCTGACCTCCAGCTAGATCCCCGCCTCCTGTCTAATTTGCGGTCCTGGGCGGCATACGAATCCCCCATTAAGCGCAACAAATCCTGCAGGAACGGCCCCAACTGACGGAAAAAGTAGAAACCGTAACGATCCGAAACGAACTACTGCTAACAGCAATATCGGCCACGATCAACCGCCACCCCACCAGCACATCGACAAGGTCCACCTTCGCACCCAGGGTACATTTAACCAGCAATGAAACACATCCGGCTAGCTGATCCCCGTATGCTGAAAAGACAACAAAGTCGCCAGACAGTACATGAGCATCAGCATCGCAAATTAAGTGAGTCTCCTGGATTGTAGCCACTTATTAACCGAAGCTGTAAGAGATCACGAAGCAGAAAAGCAGGAAGCCTTACTCTGATCTTTTAAGACGCTCGCATTCAAGCTGGTTAACTTGTTAGACATTTTCTTAGCAGGTTCCCTAAAACTCAAATTGGACGGAAATCATCAGGAGTCCGGTCACAAAGGATATTTCTAGGCTACCAGGTCATCCGACGGTGGTAATATCGCCGACGTCCGTAGGAAAAGTTAACTCCAGCACCCTGTAAAACAAGGGGTTGATCAAAACTCAGGCCCTTCCTGAACAAGTTTTAATTCCCCTCTCCAAGTTTCCTACCGCCTTAACCAGGTATTGAACTCATGCTCTTTCGGTCCTGTCACTGGATCTAACTAACGCCTTTATCCACTGTGTCATGTGTCCTTTGGAATTAACCGGAGATAACTGATAATTGACATATAATTAGACATGGCACGTGGAACTAGAACAGTCTACCCCAGTGAGCGAAATAAAGGGTTCAGTTCGACATTCCAACCACCTGAAGAAGGCCGGAGCGTATAACGGCCGAAGCATTGTAATAAATATGGCTACAAAGATGAGGATGATAGTCCGAATAATGTAAATAGTGTACATAATACCTCATCTCAGAAATAAAGACAGGTGTATGTATATGTATATCTGTACGTGCGTGTGTATATATATATATATATATATATATATATATATATATATATATATATATGTGTGTGTGTGTGTGTGTGTGTGTGTGTGTGTGTGTGTGTGTGTGTGTGTGTGTATGTGTGTGTGCATGTATGTAAAGATATATAGATATATGTGTATGTTTGTGGATATATAATATATATATATATATATATATATATATATATATATGTGTTTTTGCATACATGTGCGTATATGTGCTTGTACGTAGATGTGTATGTGTGTATATATATGTATATGAACGCATATGTGTATATGTATGTATAGGTATTTATGTATGGGTATATGTGTAAGTGTGTATATAAATATATATATATATATATATATATATATATATATATATATATATATATATATCTGTGTGTATCTATGTGTGTATGTATGTAGGAATGTATACATATGTATATGTGTGTATATATATGTATGGAGATACATACAGATATCTGACGGAGTACACACCAGCAAATATCCGATCAGTATCGGTTAGGTCAACGTGGAGGTGAGGGTATGATGTTGAATGGCACGAAACTCCTAAGGATCCTCAGCTAAAACATTCCTGATGATGTTGTGTGCGAGAGTATCAAACACATGTATTTCACGATATATATATATATATATATATATATATATATATATATATATGATCGAAATAAAAGTGTAAAATTTAATATTACAAAACATATTAAAACAATATTATAT